TCAGATTGTGGGACTTAGGATATTGGATCTTTTTGGAGGAAGGGGCTCATCAGAGAGAGGGGAGTATATGAAGGTGAAACTGGTGTCCGGCTGAATCCAGGGGAGATTTGTAAAGGTAGCAGGCATCATTGAGAAGAGACTGATCCAAATCACAGCATCATCCTGAAAGTGAAACTTAAATTCTAGAAGATAATATTTTGTTTTTTTAAGTTAATGTTGGCCAAAAAGAGAGACAAAAACCTTTTGCTTTTTGGCGTTTTTTTTTTTTTTTAATTGGAAGCCCATTTAGATAACCTGAAAGTTAAATTTGATGAAAAAGTGTTTGAATTTAATTAAAAACAGAAAATGTGTGTTCAGCAGGGGAGTATGTGACTCTTAGGAACAGCATAAGTTGTTTCTTTGATTACATTGAGACTTTAGACATATTAAGAGAAGCCAGGGGTCCAGAATAAAGTTATGTTGGAGGAAAACATTGCTTAATTTTTTTGACCTTAAAGTTGAAATAGTTTAGCATTAGGCCATAGTAACAGTTAGAATTGGAGGAAAATCTGACAGGAGCTGACAAAAACAGGAGAGTGTTATTATATTAGGCCTTCTTTAGGGGAGAAAAAGCAGAAAGCAGCGAGACACAGCAAAGGTTAAACTGAGATGATTCTGAGAAACTTTTAAAATAAACGTTATAAAATTAAAAGTAAAACTTCTTGCAGTTTTATTAAGAACAGATTAATACCTTAAGAAAACCTTGTTTTAACATAGGGGGAGCAATGTTACAAAAACTATCCTAAATCCCTTTCAGTTATAACCAACTTAATCACATACAAAATTTCTTTCATAAATTCTCCTTCACAAACCTTCTTATGACCTATACAGACTTATTTTTGACATGCTTGAACTTTGTGACTTAACCATTCTTCTTTCTTAAACCAGTCATTTTACTTTAGAACAAAACTTTACCATACAAGATTTTTTTCTCATATAAAATCTTTTTTTGAATATAACCTTCCTTTCCCAAAGTACCTTTTTACATTTATAACTTTCTTTCATGTCTCTCTTATTCCCTCATACCTTTTACCTTGTTTTTATATATAACTTTTAAGTAACCTTTGAATTAAACAAAAATTATTTTCCTTTTGTTAGGAAGTTAAGGTTTGTACTGCATGTTGGTGTGTGAGTTTTGTGGAGGGAGGGAGTACATGAGGAGGTCATCTACATACTGTAGAAGTTATCCCCACTTAAGAGATTGTTGTTAGGTTTCTTGCTAGGGCTTGTTTGAATGAGTGTGGGCTATATTTTAAAACCCTGAAATAGGACTATCTAGGTTGAAGTTTCTATGTAGTCCATTTTCACACCGCTATAAAGAAATACCCAAGACTGGGTAATTTCTAAACAAAGTAGGTTTAATCGACTCGCAGTTCTGCATGGCTGGGGAGGCCTCAGGAAACTTACCATCGTGGTGGAAGAGGAAGCAGTCACCTTCTGCACAGGGTGGCAGGAGAGAGAAATAAGGAGGGCAGGAGAAACTGCTGTTTATAAAACCATTAGATCTCGTGAGAACTCACTATCACAAGAACAGCATGGGGGAAACCGCCCCCTTGATCTAATAACTTTCGTCACTCTACATGTGCAGATTACAATTCTCATCCTCAAAACATGGGGGTTACAATTTCAGATGAGATTCGGATGGGGACACAGAGCCAAACCATATCCAGTGGCCTGTCCTTCTGCACCGAGGATACTTACTTGGAGAGGTGTCCTTAGGACAATCTCGAATGGGCTGGAGGCTTCTAAGGCAGCCAACAGTTAATCCTGTCTCTTGTCCTTGCATTTTTCTTTCTCTGTAGCTCTGTCCCCCTTATTCTGTTCCCAATTATTGAAGAACTTGAAGGCTGTGTTCAGCAATGTTAGGAAAGAAGTTTGTGGTCTCTAATCTAGCTTTTAGAGTTCATGTCTAATGTCTGAGGATGCCTGGCTGATATACAGCAAAGATGATGAGGGCTTCTGGGCTCTTGGGGTTCATATTAGTATATTTTCTCATAGCTTCAGCCTGCCTGGAATAAAATACGTCTGAGTTTTCATTTGACCCCTGTCTTATTTCTCTTAGTTGGTCATAATTTACAGGTTTTATATAGCCGTTTTTATGCCCTCAATCAGCTAAGTGATCATGTGATTATAATGTTCCCTGCTGTGGGCTCCCTCTTGATAACCCCACCTAGGATCAGTGGCAGGTGCTGCAGCTTTCCCTGGGCCAAACTCCTAGGGGCTTGGGGTATGCACCTCATCTGCCCACCTTTGAGCCAGAGACCAAATGTGAGATTTTTTCTCATGGGTGCAACAAGAGGTGAAAGTAATATACATGTCCTGCCAAGTGAGGTAGAAGGAAGCAGTAGTCCTTTACATTCCTTCATGAAGCCAGAAAGGCCCCAACTGAAAGAGCCAAGCTTAGTTTTTATTTAGGAAAGATTAGACACTGGAAAAGGGACATGGACTCTAATGGTTCCTGGATCCCCATTTGCCACGTCCTGGAGCAGCAAAACTTTTTCTGGGGCTGAAATGGGATCATAAGTGGCCTGTGACCTAGTATGAGAAGGGGAGAAGGGTCCCTGATAAAGAAGCACTGGAAAACAACATCGAAGTTTGGGATGTTGAGGGGAAGGTGAAGGAGAGGGAGCAGGCGGAGTAGGTGTGATTGAATGTGAAGGTAGTTTGTTAGGAGAAGAAGGTCTGGTCTCAACCCATCCAGCTAGCTGGAGAGAACGGAAGCGAGAAAAAGAAAGTCCATCCATAATGTCAGAAGAGTCAGTGGGGCCAGATAATAAAGCTGTGCACATTCAGGAAGTTTGGTGGAGATCAGGATCCCGAGAGAGAGAGAGAGAGTCATGAAAGCCTGGACATAGGAACTTCAGACCATTTAGAAGAGTTGCAACAGAAAATGGCAAGCTGTAAAATAGTACTGGGGGCAAGGGTCCCACCTGGAGGCCAGGGGGATTCCTGATCTGAAAGTTTATAAGGTGGCCATGTTATATTACACAAGAAAATTAAACTTTCTCTTTGAGAGTCTGAGGGTCAAATTTATCCCAGTATTTTAGGATGCAACCCAGAGTTGAGTCTGAAGGAATAGATGGGGCTTGTCCCGTGGTGGGACTGGAAAACAACAAGCTGCTTGGCGCTAATAAATAATAGTACCCACCTCGTAGAACTGTTATGAAGTCTAAATAAGATAATAAAAAGAGATTGTTTAGAACAGTGCATAGTTTATAATAAATACCTAGTCAATTATTATTATCATCCCTTATCAAACTTTCAAATCAGGTCTTCAACAAGCTGGTCACAAGACAGAACATCTAGGACGTGAATCCAGGCTGTCTGGGTTCTTGTATAACTGGATAACAACTCATCAGAAAAAGCTATTGATCTGAAAACATGAAGTGCTACTAGTTTTAGATTAAAGATATAAAATGTGAGCTTTTTCCCTCCTACTTCCTACTAGTCTATTTTCTGGAGTAATATAGAACAAACTTAATAAACAAATTGCAAATACTCAAGGGAACTTGAATAAATCATCTGGTTGGACAGTTTGTTTTCTTTGAAGACAAATACAAATGGTCATGGTGTTTTTTAAAATTGTATACACAAAAGCTATAAAATTATGTACTGATTTATTTAGTCTTGCTTAATTACCCATTATCTGATCAGTGTTAAAACTTCATCTTTTTTTCCTTAACATCTATTTTTTTGATTTTTAAAGATTTTTTTTTTTTTTTTTTTTTTTTTTTTTTTGCAGGGCAGGGCTTTTTATTAAGTTTTTAGCTATAGCTGGTAGCACAGCCTGAAGAGCTTGAAGTGGGATAGGTTCATAGCAGGTGTTTGCCAAATAAGTAATGTACTCATGCAAAGAGTCATATTTTCTGCTCTGCTAGAAACTGTCTTCAAGAGAATATGCTTTTATTAAATAGATAAAATTTCACAGTGTATTCCAAGGAACTGCTCTGTGTTGTGATGGTGGGTGGGTGTGAGATGGAACAGGGGAGGAAGGGATACAATGTGATGGAGAATACTCTCTCAGATACGAAACTAAGTATACAAGGATAATAGAATTGAATCCAATTTTGTTGTTGTTTTGTTTGAAAGGTTCTATTCTCCTCAAAATCAAAGTTTGATAGTATACTGGACTGGCCAAGTCTGAATGCCTGCTATGGCAAAACCTCCATTTAAGGGAAACTGTCTTGCCTTTAGCCCTTGCTATAAGGGTAGTTCCTTTTTGTATTTGGCTATAACCCCTGGCTATGGCTGAGTAGACCCTGGAAGACTGAAGCAAAAAATAGAGAATTGTGGCCTGGTATAAAAAGATTAACTGCCCTAATCAAAATTGTCCCTGGAAAATTAAAAACTGTAAAATGTAGAAAGATGGAGGCAGTTAACAATGAGGGCAAAAAACTGAAACAATGTATTAGAAAATATAGTGAGATAAACAGGATAAGATGTGTTATCATATGTTATAGGGGTGTAAAAATATGAGAAATTAAAGCCGTTTAATAGTGAAATGGAAAGAATCAGATGTTTGATATTAAGCTTTATAATTAATAAGGAAAGCAATAGATTGACTGCCTGTTTGATTGATTCATTTGTTATTCAACAGATTATTTTTTTAGTTGTGTTATGTACCAGGCAGTGTTTTAGCCCAAGAGTATTACTCTGAGAGTTAAGCCAGTGATCCTCAACCACTTGTGATTTTGCCTACTAGAGGATATTTGGCCATGTCGGAGACATTTTGGTTGTCACAGCTGGGAAAGGGAGGTGGTATTGGCTTTTAGTGAGTAGAGGCCAGGGATGTTGCAAACTATTCTACAATACACAGGATAACTCCCTACAAAAATAGAATTATCTCGCTCGGAATGTCAGTAGTTCTCAGGTTTACAAACTCTGGGATAAACCAACATTAGGATGTAGTTCCTGGAATAATTGTTAGCTTATAGTTGACATTTAACTTTCTGTGTTTTCAGAATTAAGGAAGTTCACTGGAGCAAAATGGAGGCCTCTGTAATATTACCCATTCTGAAGAAAAAACTAGCCTTCCTTTCAGGTATGTTTTCTTCTTAAAATTTGAAGTGTTTGATATACAAACTTTTTAATAGTTTTTTCTTTGATAAGTATGACAAATGTATTTTTTTTAAATGACAGTTTTGTTTAAAAGGTATTTTTAAGACATCTTTAAATCAGAGTGGAGAACTAGGAGAGCTAACTCTGTACTGTACTCTTGGCAGTCCAATTTATTTTTCTAATTTCAGTTTTTTTAGATTCGGCGGTACATGTATCTGTCTGTTGCATGGGTCTATTACATGATACTAAGGTTTGCGGTACAGTGGAGTCCTATCACCATCACCCAGGTAGTGACCATAGTACCTAGTAGGTAGTTTTTCAGCCCTTTCCCCCTTCTCTCCCTTTCCTGGAGTAGTCTTCAGTGTCTGTTGCACCCATCTTTATGTCCACATGTGCTCAATATTTCATTCCCACTTATAAATGAAAATGTGTAGTATTTGGTTTTCTGTTTCTGTGTCACTATTCAGTTAGGATGATGGCCTCTAGCTGCATCCATGTTGTGGTGAAGGACGTGATTTCCATGTTTTTTTATGGCTGTGTAGTACTCTATCATGTACATGTACCATGTTTTCTTTATCCATTCCACTGTTGATGGGCACCTAGGTTGATTCCATATCTTTGCTATTGTAAATAGTGCCATAGGGAACATTTGAATGCATGTGTGTTTTTGATAGAGCAATTTATTTTCCACTGGATATATACCCAGTAATGGGATTGCTGGATTGAATGGTAGCAATCTCATTACTAGGTATATACCTACAAGAAAACACATTATTTTATAGATTTCTCTTTTTTAAGTTCTCTGAGATATCTCCAAACAGCTTTCTCCAGTGACTGAACCCTAATTTACATGACCACCAACGATGCATAAGCACTTCCTTTTCTCTGAAGCCTCACCAGCATCTGTTATTTTTTGACTTTTTAATAATAGACATTCTGAATGATATGAGATGATACTTTGTTGCCAGTTTGATTTGCATTCCGGTAATTATTTGTGATATACGTGTTTGTTGGCCACTTGTATGTCCTCTTTTGAGAAATGTCTGTTCATATTCTTTGTCCACTTTTTAATGGGGCTATTTATTTTTTTCTTGTTGAATTAAGTTCCTTAGGGATTCTGGATATTAGGCCTTTGATGGAAGCATAGTTTGTGACTATTTTCTCCTATTTTGTAGGTTGTCTGTTTATTTTGTTGATAGTTTCTTTTGTTGTGCAGAAGCTCTTTAGTTTAATTATGTCCTACTTTTCAATTTCTGTTTTTGTTGCTGTTACTTTTGAGGATTTAGTCATACATTTTTTGCTAAGGTTGATATCAAGAATTGTATTTCCTAGGTTTTCTTCTAGGATTTTTATAGTTTTAGGTTTTATGTTTAAGTCTTTAATTCATCTTGAGTTAATTTTTGTGTATGGTGAAAGATATGGTCCAGTTTTATTCCTTTGCACATGGTTAGCAAGTTATCCCAGCTCCATTTATTGAATAGGGAGTTCTTTCCCCATTGCATGTTTTTTGAAGATCAGATGGCTGTAGCTGTGTGACTTTATTTCTGGATTCTCTCTATTCTGTTCCATTGGTCCATCTGTCTGTTTCTGTACCAGTGTCATGCTGTTTTGTTACTGTAGCCTTATAGTGTAGGTTGAAGTCAGGCAATTTAATACCTCTGGGTTTGTTCTTTTCGTTTAGAATTGCTTTGGCTATTTAGGCTCTTTTTTGGCTCCATATGAACTTTTGAATAGTTTTTTCTATTCTATGAAAATTGACATTGGTAGTTTGATGGGAAAAGCATTAAAATTGTAGATTGCTTTGAGTAGTATGGCCATTTTAACAATGTTGACTCTTTTAATCCATGACGATGGAATGTTTTTTCATTACTTTATTATTTCTTTCAGCAGTGTATTTTAGCTTTCCTTGTAGATATATTTTACCTCCTTGCTTAGGTGCATATTTTAGGTATTTTTTGTGGCTGTTATAAATGGGGATATGTTCTTTATTTGGCTCTCAGCTTGAGTGTCACTGGTGTTTAGAAATGCAACTTATTTTTGCATATTGATTTTTTTTTACCCTGAAATGTTACTAATGTCATTTATCAGTTCTAGAAGCCTTTTGGTGGAGGCTTTAGAGTTTTCTAGGTATAGAAACATAAAGTCAGCAAAGAGAGATAATTTGACTCCCTTGTTTTCTATTTCTTTGCCTTTTATTTCTTTTTCTTGCCAGATAGCTCTTGCTAGGAATTCTAGTGCTATATTGAATACAAGTGGTGAGAGTAGGTATCCTTGTTTTGTTCCAATTCTTAAGGGGAATACTTCTAGCATTTGCCTATTTAGCATGATGTTGGCTGTGGATTTGTCTATAGATAGCTTTTATTATTTTGAGCTGTGTTTTTTCAGTGCATAGGTTCTTAAGGGTTTTTATCATGAAAGGATGTTGGATTTTATGGAAGGCTTTTTCTGCATCTATTGAGATGATCATATGGTTTTTGTTTTTAATTCTCTTTATGTGGTGAATCACGTATATTGATTTGTGCATGTTGAACCAATCTTGCATCCCAGGAATAAAGCTTACTTGAATGTGGTGAATTAACTTTTTGATGTGCTGCCAGATTCTGTTTGCTAGTATTTCCTTGAGGATTTTTACATTTCTGTTCATCAGGGATATTAGCCTTTAGTTTTCTTTTTTGTTGTTGTGACTTCACCAGGTTTTGGTGTCAGGATGATGCTGGCTTCACACAAGAAGGGATCCCTCCTCTTTAATTTTTTTGGAATAATTTCAATAGGGTTGGTACCACCTCTTCTCTGTGTGTCTGCTAGTATTTGGCTGTGAATCCATCTGGGTCAGGACTTTGCTTGGTTGGTAGATTTTTAAATGACCAATTCAGTTTTATAACTCAATATTGGGCTGTTGAGGGCTTTAATTTCTTTATGATTCAATCTTGGGAGAGTCTGTGTTTCTAGGAATTTGTCCATTTCTCCAGAGTTTCTAGTTTGTGTGCGCAGAAGTCTTTCGTATTTCTGTGAGATCACTTGTAACGTCACCTTTGTCATTTCTAATTGTCCTTATTTGGATCTCCTCTTTTTTTTTCCTTTGTTAATCTAGCTAGTGGTCTATTGAGTCTGTTGATCTTGTTTATCATTTTAAACTTTTGGTTTCGTTAGTCTGAGTGGGAGCAGTGGTATGGTTCATTGGGTGTAGTGATTTCTGGAGTTTGGATCTTTGAGTAAATTTCTACATGCTCTGCCAATTCAGAGTTATTTGGACTGTATTATCTTGCTTTCTCTCTGTTATTCTCCTTTATGTCCCTTCCTAATCGCCTTGATAATACTAATGTCCTTTTTTCGAAATATGTTGTGTCTCTGTGTAAATTGACATGTTTTCCTAGTGTGTATTATAAATGACAAAATAATTGAATTCCACTACTATTATCGTTTTCTTAGTTAATATGTTTTCTTCTTTCTTAATACTTCTTCTCTCATTGTTTGATATATATGTCTTCTCCATTCGTTTCTGATATGAATGATGACGTTGTAAATATTCTTTTTTTTTATTTGTAGCTTTGTGCATTTTTCTTTTTTTTAAATTTTATACCTAGAAAGCTTTGTGTATTTTGTATGAGTTTAGCAGTATACCTTTTTATAAGTAGAAGTGGTATAAAAAGAATATGCATTTAAATTTGTGTTAGATTTTGTAGATTGAAACTCCAAGAAGATTGTTTCACTCTCTATTTTTCCCAATGGTGTATGAAAATGCCCGTGTTCTCACACTCTTCAATAGTGAACATTATTATTCTCTTATAATCTTTACCATGACATTTTTGCATCTTGTGACACTTGTCTTTGTGTAGCATTTCACCCTTTTGACCATAACTGTCTTGAAAGTCTTTTTCCTGTTGGCTTTCACCCCTTTTGTACTTTTACACTGGTGATTGTTTTATTGTCCCTGAGTGAAAGCTGAGGGAATAGAGTTAAATATAGCCCTGAATGTTAGATTTATCTTCTAAAAACAATTCCTCAGTGAGTCAGGGTGCCATGGGCCAGGTGTGAACCTCTTTTTGGGCTTGAGTTAATGCATGGATAAAGCTTACCATTGAAGAGTAAATGAAAGACTTCTTAGCCTATTCCTATTAACTTCCTCTTGTGACCATTGATTATTTAAGCCAGTAGTTTTCTATGTTTTTAGTAGTAGAGAAAATCTTTCCAAACCAACAGAGTCATTTGGGGGATGCAGTTTGAAAACCACTTGTGTTAATCCATTTTTTTTTTTGAAAATTGAAACTTATATTCTGAACACAAAATATGCAATTGAAGTCATATTGACTGATCAGTCAGTTGAATCATCTCCAATGAATATTTGTTGACATTAAACAAAATGGTTGGATAGCAGTAATGGTTGACTTAATGGAGGACAGAAGTTCATATGTTATGAATTGCATTTGTGTCACTAATATGAGTCTTTTTCTTCACACCTTTCAGTTTTTAGTGATAGATGTCTGTTGATCATATGGAATTGTTTCTTTCAGTATTTGCTGCTTTTTAAGATTCTAAAATGACCTCAAACGTCAATTTGGTCAGAAGATGGGCTTCAATATGAAAATCAAACATGTAGCAAACTTTCAAAGACATGATGTGGGAATAAAATTATTTAAAAGTTATATTATTAACACTTATGGCACACTGAAGGGGACTTAAATGTACATGAAATGTAACTGTACTCTACTGCCTTGATTTGAGGCTTCAATATCCAGGTCCCATGCACTCTTCTCAGCTGGGCAAGGATTTAACTTTACTGTCTTATGAACAGTATATGCCTATCTGACCTTTGTGAGTTAACTCAGATCATTCCTCATCACAGAATACTCCTTTCACTTGGCTTACAAATTCTACCCATTTTTCTTTCTTTCTTTTCTTTTTCTTCCTTCCCTCTTTCCTTTTCCCTTTCTTTTCCCTTCCTTTTTCCCTCCCCTCTTCTCCCTCGTCCCCTCCCCTCCCTTCCTCTTCCCTCCCCCTGAGTCTTAGGCCTATAGGCACGCCAGTATGCCCAACTCCATTTTTATCAAGTCATAACTTTTTAATGAAACTTTCCACATTTACTGCAGCTCTTAATCATTTTCTAAATCCCTTTTTATAATACTTTATAATATATCTTATACAACATAACAAATTCAGGTTTCTTATGACTTAAATCTTTTCTTCCTAGGTTGATTATAAATTTATTTTATTTTACTTGCAAATACTTACTGTGCTGGGCACACAAGAGGTGTTTAAAGAATTGATTACATTAAGAAGCACACTAAATGGAAGAAATTTAAATAAAGTGATATTTACTGTGTTTGGGTGAAGATTTCATGGGTGAATTTTTTTCCTTTTAATTTTTTCTAAATTTTCTATACTTCTCCTTTATTATCATAAACATTTACAATCTATAAGTAGCCATTAGATATTTTCCAAATTATGTATTAAACTTATTGTTTTAGTAAGATTGGATTCAAATATATATTATTCGGATTATGGCTTAGTATGCATTACATGTTAAACTGAAATCTTTTTTTAATAGGAGGAAAGGACAGACGGAGTGGCCTCATTTTGACAATTCCATTATGCCTGGAGCAGACAAATATGGATGAGCTGAGTGTCACCTTAGACTACCTACTCAGCATTCCAAGGTGACTCTAAAGGTGTCTTTTCTTAAACCTCAGTATGTTTTCGTTTAGTTGCTCATGATTCCTTCTATTGTTGAAATATGCTTTGCTATCTTATCTGCTTTAATTCATAGTGAAATTATAATTATAGATTCTAAACTCAATGACTTACAACACCATTGCAGATAAAATGCTTATTTATGCTCTTGATGAATTTAATGACATACAGATTTCCAAAATGTATGTATTGTCAACTTTTTAGGAACACAGTAACTAAGCATCTGTATCATGTAACTTTAGAAAAATTAGAGAATTTAATCAATAGAAAGCATCTTTATTTAGGTAAATTATCTCACTATATTGATATAAATACGTCTGCAGGTTTTAATGTATTGAGGGAATAAAGACTATTAGGAGTTAATTTTTGTTTGAAAAATGTAAAAAATGTTTCTTTATATTTTAATCAAAGGTCCTTGAATTTTAATTTTCACATTTCTTCAGTGGAGACAAACTTAAACATCTTTATTTTCCTGAGCCTACCCATCATTTCAACAACAAAAATAAAGCTTCCTTCCCATCTGCTTCTCTTGTAATTGGTACTGGGTACAACCGTGACTGCATGTTAGTCATCTGGAAATTTTTTTCAAAATTATGATGTTGGGGGCTTCACTTCCAGAGATTCAGATCCATTAGTTCTAGGGAAGCCTGCTTATAAGAATTTGTAAGAAGTCTTTTAAGCTTCCTATGTATTTCTAATGTACAACCAGATTTGTAAACCACAACAATTAAGCATGTGAATGAGGGCAGGTTTCTGTGTGTGTGTGTGTTTGTACAGTGTAGAGGTAGAAAAAGGAACAAGACTATCTCATATACTGCTCTTAAGTTCTTGCTAGTGAATTTTAAACGTTTTAGAGTAAACAGTTCTTCATGTTTTTCTTATATTTGCATTTTATTGACATACTAGCTTTTTTTCAATTAAAATAACCTTGCAGAGTATGGGGTTAAAATAACTGATTTTAATCACACCTGCATCCAATAGTGTTGTATAATTTAATGATTCGGTTGCTGTTTATTTTTTTAATATTGTGGAAATAGAGATCTTCATGTGAACATTTTCAATTTTTTCACTTTCTGGGGGTGTAAATTATCAGAACCTGTAGTTAGTGCATTAGTATTGAATAATCTTGCTAATCCCCTGAGCTGTGGATTGCTAACCTGTTCACCATTAGATAACAAACTGCTTTTTAGGTAACTGTGACTAGCCAGACTTGTAGCTTACAAATTATGAAAAGATTATTCATAGATGGATTCATAGAAGGTTAAATATGTAAAGTACCAACTGAACCAACTGCTTTATTTTGTAGTTGAGGAAATTGAAACTCAGAGGTAATGGTTACTTGCCCAAGATCACATAACCAGTGAGTCACAGAGCTGGAATGAGCGTCTACAATTCCTGACACCAATTTAGAGCCTTTTTGTACTTCAAATGAATAAAATTGAGTGTAGTTGCATCTCATGTGAAGTCCAGAGCTGAGTGAGGTTCAGATGAAAAGCAAAACTTACTAATTGTCAGAGTTACTTTTGAAAAATGCCTGATGGTGGATCAGAGACTGTGTTATCTTTCCATGAACATCTTAGGTTTTCCTTCAACATTGGAGCATGTTATACTGAATTCCAGAAGTCATAGTTGGCTTGTGATTAGGTTTGTCTTAAGAAAATGCATGTTTGTATGTACTGGGATCACATTCAATTCAGCAGGATGCTCTCCCTGTCAGAGGCACTGGGTAACTGAGGCAGGCTAAAGGACCAGCAGATTCATTCACAACTCCAGGCTCATGTTCACCCTGGCACAGCAAGCAGGAAATACAGTGGCAGGCTATACTATTTAAATTTTCTCTCTCTTTGTCATATAAATATATGTATGATGTTCCTCCAGTATAAATGATGAATCAGTTTCTGCATATCTGCACATACCTGCCAACCAGCAGAGAAGGTGTAAGTTGAAGCAAGATGAAAGAACTTATTCCTAGCAAAGCAAAATAGATACCTGGATACTTTGTTTTCTTAATTGTTTTGCAAAAGTTTGGCCTTCTCAAATATTCATGAAAACTCTATCCTTCTGCTTTCTTGAATTAGCTTCCCATAATTTTGGCATTAATAAACGTGGCTGTCAGCTTTTTCTCAGTACTTGCCATTTTCTTAGAGAGCTAAGGTGTTTTTGATCTCTCCATTGCGATGCTAGAGAGCAGCTAACTAGATGTTTGATCTTAAAACCAATGGTTTTCATTCAGAATTTCCACCACTCAAGTGCTTTTAAAATGTAACCCTCCCAACATTTTATTAAAATGCTCATATATACAAAATAGGTTAAGGAATTATACAGTGAACACCCGTATGTCCACCACTTAGAAAATCTAAAACTAACATTGCACTTTATCGCGTTAACGCCCATGTTTCACCTCTCTTTTTGTCCTAGGAATGTTTTTAAATGACCCTGCCAGATCAGGTCCAGCATGTGTCTAGAAAGGTTTTTTCATTTCTAGTATGTTTACATTCTTGTGTGTCCTGCTTTTGTCTCCCAGTATCCAGCTGTTAATGTTTAACTCCTTCCAGCTGTGAACTGCAGACATCTCCAGCAGTATAGCTAGCTAATGTGGCCTCTTCCTAATAGGAGATGTCCAAAATTGATTTTTTTGTGCAATGGCTATCTTAATGTTTTAAATATAACTTTTAAAAATTGATGCAAAAATAAAAAGAAATAACTCCGTTTCTTACTTAGACTTTGTGCTTATTTTTAATGATCACAGGGACAAGGTGTGATATATAGCTGTTTTAAATGGTTAACCTAGCTCAGTTGAGAATAGAGGCATTTCTTGATTCTTTTCTACACAGGTTGGCCCTAAGTTTGTTCTGTGTTTCAGATACTGAGTGTACAGTATTTTGGATATTCATGAGTGCTATGAAAACAAAGCATGGAAGGAGTGAGCAGAGTGATAGAGTGGTGATACTTTACAAAATAAGATGATATTTTACCAGAGATGATTAAAAGGAGGGACAGACCCTGCAGAATATAATCAAAGATCATTGAAGACAGTGAGCATTAAGTGCAAAGGCCCTGAGGCAGGAGCAGGCTTAACATGTTTTGAGAACATTAAGGAGGCTAGTGTGGCTGGAACAGTTTGAGAGAAGAACACAGTGCTGGGAGGGCAGTCAGAGTCAGCAGTCAGGTCATGGAAGACCACGTAGGCCGTGGTAAGGGCATCAATTATGAATGAGATGGAAAGCCATTGTCATGTTTGACTGAGGAGTGATGTGATGTGAAGTGATGTGAGTTATCTAACATTATTAAAGGCCCTCCATATTTACAGTATAGTGCTAGAAGCTGCCAAGACATTTGTAAGATAACATTCTTGCTTTTTGGAAGCATATTATCTAATGAAGATGAATTATAAACAAGTAATTATTTAAAAAGCGTAAGTGAAATTAGTGCCATTATGTAAGTATCAGCAGAGTTCTATGAGTGGAAGAGAAGAAGCCTTTAGTTGTAATCGAAGAAATGAGTTAAGAGCTACAGGATATTGGTCCCAGGAAATTCACTAACATTCTCTTCTATGTCAAAAGTGAGTGGACTGTTTAGACAGCCTCATGTCTATATAGCTATTTTAACTCAGCTACATCACCCTTAAAAGGCTTAGCTGGACTAGGAACTAGAAGACTAGGTCTTAGATTTTTTTTAAAATTACTGTTCTTAAAATACAGTTATAAACCTGCTAACAGTGGGTATAGGAATTTATTATTAATGGCTCTCAGGTCCTACAACAGGCTCTATATAAAAGTATATAACATGCTTCTAAATTAACTATGTTGTTAAAAGCAGTTTAAGCCATCATTCCACTTACAGGGATGAAGTAAAAAACAAAACTATTTCCTTTCAAGTACTTGAAGGCCACTTGGTCTGGCAACTTTGAAATAGTTATCTTTGGATTCTGTGTATTTTCATTATCTATCTTAGTAAAATGTGAGAAAATGACAGGGTTAAGTGTGTTTCTAAGTACTCTGAAAGATAAATTTAGAGTATTTTATTCCTTTAAGATCACTACAGATGATATTGGCAAGCTTCATTACTTTCTTAGTATTAATGTACAGATTAATTTATAGTATGCTTTGAAATATAAATATACTGCTTGTATAAAATGTATTTAACAAAATGGCTGTGTAACCTGCAACTCAGGGATAGTACCACGTTATGAGAATGGCACATTTCTCTTGGTGGGCCCTCTCTTGGATAGCTGTGTCTTAGCTCTCCTTCCTGCAAATTTGCATAAGGCATTGGTAGAATCTCTGTGTTGTTGTGGCTTCTCCAGACCACTCAACAGCCAGCTACCCTGCCTAGCTGATCTCTTTTGGGCTTGTATCCTCTCCTAAGTCATGGCAGTCTTCTTAGATGTCTTGTTGGTGGAGAATTCCAGGAATCTCCTCGTTACCTGACCCCACAGATAGTAATTAGATGAAAGGTTTGCCTTTTTTCCACAAGTCTTTTTATTTTTAAAAAGATAGAGACGGAGTTGGCCGGACATGGTGGCTCATGCCTGTAATCCCAATACTTTGGGAGGCCAGGGTGGGCAGATCACTAGGTCAGGAGTTTGAGACTAGCCTGGCTAACATGGTGAAGCCTGTCTCTACTAAAAACACAAAAATTAGCCGGACATGGTGGTGTGTGCCTGTAATCCCAGCTACTTGGGAGGCTGATGCAGGAGGATTACTTGAACCCAGGAAGTGGAGGTTGCAGTGAGCCAAGATCACATCCCAGCACTCCAGCCTGGGTGACAGAGCAAGACTCTGTCTTGGAAAAAAAAAAAAGAGATGGAGACTTGCTGTGTTGCTCGGGCTGGTCTCAAACTCCTGGGCTCAAGTCATCATCTTGCCTTAGTCTCCCAAAATGCTGGGATTAGAGATGTGAACCAGCTTACCTGGTCCCCTCTGCAAGTCTTTTATTTTCTTTTGCTAACCCACAAGTGATCACTGTATTGCCTTACCTTTAATTTTTCCCAAAGAATGTTTAGTGGATCCTTTATTTGTGCAAATAAAAAAATAGAGTACTTGGCCAGGCATGGTGGCTCAGGGGGGCAGATCACGAGATCAAGAGATTGAGACCATCCTGGCAACATGGTGAAACCCTGTCTGTACTAAAAATACAAAAATTAGCTGGATGTGGTGGCATGCGCTTGTAGTCCCAGCTACTTGGGAGGCTGAGGCAGGAGAATTGCTTGAACCCAGGAGGCAGAGGTTGCAGTGAGCCGAGATTGCACCACTGCACTCCAGCCTGGCACCTGGCAACAGAGAGAGAGACTGTCTCAAAAAAAAAAAAAAAAAAGTACTTAAAGTATTTTATTGGGATGTAATCCACATATCATAAAAATCATCCTTTTAAAGTATACAATTTGTTGATTTTTAGTATATTCACAGGTTGTGCATCCATTATGCTATCTAATATAAGAGCATTTTTATCAGCCCAAAATAAACCTTGTTCCCATTGGTAGTCACTAGTCACTCTCCATTCTCCCCTCCTAACGCTTGTCAACCGCTAATCTGCTTTCTGTCTCTGGATTTGCCTATTCTGGACATTTCATATAAATGGAATAATACAAAGTATGTCCTTTTGTGTCTGGTTTCCTTTACTTACCATAATGTTTTCAAGGTTTAGCCATGTCGTAGCATCTGTCAGTACTTCATTCTTTTTTTATGGCTGAATAATGTCTCATTGTTTGGTTATACTATGTTATGTTTTTCTGTTCATCAGTTGGTGGACATTTGGATTGTTTTTACTCTTTAGCTATTATGAATTATTCTGCTATGAATATTTACATGCAGGTTTTTGTGTGAACATATGCATCACTTTGCCTTACCTCTTGAATACTCTTTTATTTACTTTGGAAGCTCAGCTTCTGTCCTTGCCTGTTCCCATTCTAAACTTTTAGCAATATCATCATTAGAACAGGACATGTCTTCTCCAGGAAGCTTCTTGGAACTAGTGTGCATGCTTGGAGGGTGAAGAGAAGGACTAATAAAGTCTCCTGAACTGCTGGTGGATTTAAATCCCAGGAAAAGGTCTACTGTTTATTTTTCCTATAAAGTATATAATTGGGAACAGTTAGGATGGGGACAGGTTTCACTACCAAAATCTTGCTCTGATAAGCAAAGTTGTAGTTCCATTTTCTGTACTGGAAGGAGGGCATTTGAGATCCTTAGATTAAGTTGGTAAGTAAAACACAGTCATAATAACAATAACAATGCATACATAGTTTTAGCCTTGAGAATGGAATATTTTCCTCCAGAAGCAGTTGCGTTTTATTAGGTTAGACTTCTGGGAAATGTTTAGTTAATGCATGAGTCACTCAGTATAATATAGGAACAACACATTTTCCAACGCTGATGATAATATTCTGCTGGTCAAGTGACTGAGAATGCAAAAGTGAGAACAGAAGTGGGTTAGACATGGTCTGTTCAAGCTGTTTAATCAGCAAGTTCTACCTCATCATTAAATTTCTCCAGAAAGTCCATTATTGTGGTTTATTAATAACGTACTTTATTTTTTATCTGTTTTTAACTATCACTTCAAAAATCTTAAACTTCTGGCAGGAAGGCGAGACAAGAAATATGTAACACCCTTGGCAATTAATAACTTACTTCACAGTGATCCCATTTTACAGATGAAGAAATTGAGAGGCTAGTAGTATTGTTTGAATGTTGCTTTGATTTCCTCACTTTTAAGATGTTGGCTTTTATGCTTTTAGAATAATTTTCTTGGCACCATAGTTTGTAAATTGTGAACATTTCCTAAAATAAGAAAAATAAATTGCTTGAGAAAAGGAAAGGACATTCTGAATAATTTTATTTATTGACAATATAAACTAAACCAAATGAGATTAATTCTACTCCATATGCAATTAGCTTTTAAACTTTCTTTATTTAGAATTATGAAGAACAAAATCTGGAGCTTGTTTTAATGCTTTGTAATTTTGTTTTGTTTCAGTGAGAAGTGTAAGGCTAGAGGATTTACCGTCATTGTGGATGGCAGAAAATCACAGTGGAATGTGGTGAAAACAGTAGTTGTAATGCTACAGGTAATTTTGGTTTTGTCTATCAGGAAGTGGTTTTTATTTTACAGCAACAGATCCTGGTTAAAATGGCAAATGCATTTAATTTACTGGAGTATGCCTGGCTTCCTAGCAGTGACTGAGTTCTGAAAATGCACTTACCACTATTGGATTGTTCAGATTCAACTCCTTAGGTTTGAATTTAAGCAGTTAAATAAATCTCAACTCTATTGTAATAGGTTCGTAAATGAAAATAATATGTCATGCTTAAGTAATTTAAAAATGGAGGCCAGTGATTTTAAAAGTGTGAGCATTGAAATTATGAGACTTACCTGGGAGCTTTTGCATGCTTTGGTGTCTGTACCATTCTCCCTCCTGCACCCCAATCTGAAACTATAGGTAAGTGGTAGGATTGGGTAAGTTTAGTTGGAAGAAACTTCTCAGGTGATTCTGGCATGTTTTTCTCTTCTAGTCCTCTATTTCCTACATAAAGCATCAGGATTCATGATGATCTTATTATTTGTTTATAGCCCAGAAGAAACTTACTTAACAGCTGTGTCCTCGGGGACTTCATCCCCTCACTAATTAACATTTAATAGACATCTATGTTTACAAACTTTTTGAGATCCTATGCCAATCTTGTGTTTTATGTTTCCTCATGTTTCTCACAGAATATTTCTGTTATCCCTGGCATGTAGTAGGCTCCCAGTAGACATTTGTTGATTTATTTTAAGGGTGTTGAAGATACAATTTGAAAAGGAAAAATAAAACATTTGAGTGATGTAGAGAGCAGATTGCTCTCATGCACCTGGCCTTCTGTGGCAACAGATATTATGGCCTGCAAAGCTTAAAATACTTATTATCTGGACTTTTTGGAAAGACTGCATTGACCCCAGGTTCAAAGCATATGAAACAGTATAGTAGAACTTTAGAGTCAGACAGAGGTGGTTTCTATTCAGCTCAATGACTTTTGAGAGCATCTAGCGAGGTAAAACTTGAATTATCCAATTTAAATTAAAGAAAGTTAAGAGGGCCTTCCCCACAGAGCCTCTTGACTTACATATAGCTCAAAAATGAAGTAAGTACAATGAGAGTAGTTGATGGCAGGCCAGTTTGGGGGAAACATAAGTTGGCACTAACATGGGATCATTCACTTAAGTGGGTATTAGTGGTAGTGAAAGAAAGATCAAGAATTTTAAATGAATTTGACAAATAGTTTGTAGCTGCTTTAGGGTTCTGTGGAAAGGAATATAATTTTAAAATTTAAGTTATAATGAAGGAGAATGGTTCTTAATGTTTTATCCTTTATTTAGGTTAATTGGGAAAAAGGGATTCAAGGGATAGGAAAAAAGTGGTAATTTTAGGTTGTAGTTCTAGTTTTGGTGCTTATTATGGTTCTGGTACCGTGCTAAGCTTGGTATATAAATGATCTCATTTAATTTTGGCCCTACAACCTTACAGAGAAGGACAGGAGGCTCAAGGATTTTAAATAACTTAAAATTGGAACCTAGCATAGACTAAGTAAGCCCCAGGCCTTGACTTCATCCATTTTAAAGTGTATATTTACCAGTGGCATGCATCAGAGGTGGTCTCTGAATTTCCTACCCAGTTGCCTCGTTCTTCTTAAATGTTCAGCTTAAACTTTTCATCATTAGGATCCCCTATCTACCCCCCTTTTTTTAAGTTGGTAACTGACTTTGTCACTCAGCCTGAAGTGCAGTAGCATGGCACACTGCAGCCTCCAATTCCTTGGCTCAGGCAGTCCTCCTCCCTCATCCTCCTGTGTAGTTGAGACTGGAGGTGAGCACCACCACACCTGGCTAAGTTTTTTTTATTTTGTAGAGACTATATTGCTCCAGCTGGTCTCAAACTCCTCAGCTCAGGTGATCCTTCTCCTTCAGCCTCCCAAATCACTGGGATTATAGGCTAGAATCACTCTTTGTGTTAGAAAGGACATATCTTCTGGAGGATTAGTTTTTGAGGGAACACAAGTTGGTGTCCTAAAGTAACTTTTTCTTTGAAAACAAAAATAGTGTTTCCAGCACTTTTATATTTCAAACCTTGAGAATTAACTCTTCTCTGTGAAAGTTGTTAAAATAACTATTAGGTAAGAAATCCATTAATTATGACCTTGTGTTCTTCCTTTCATCCTGTCATTCAACTGTGTCACAGATGAGCTGTTTGGGACTTGCTGTTTGAACTGGACTTTGATCAATGGCAGTTTTGAAGAACAATCAATGGATGATTTAATCCCCTCTTGCGATTTCTTTTCTAATAGGTATTTTAACAACTTTTGGATTTATTAGTAGTTACATTTTGAGAAGTTGCAATGGCCTCTTTACTTCTAGTCAGACAGTTTCTACATATGAAGTCATTCATTGCTTTCATCTCAGAAGGTACTGAGATCAGTTCTTTGGGACCCCACAGTGTCTATGACTAGTATTCTCTAAAATAAGGGGCTTGGTTTCTCTTGTTTCTCACAGTTTTCATATTTAATGATTTTGAAATAATTATCTTCTACAAGGTAGTATATGAATAAATCTCAATTCTATCTTATATTTCCCAGCCCCTCTGATAAAAGTTTTGATACCGTTGAATTTATTTTACTTACCTTAGTCAGAATTCAGTTGTTGCAGTAGATGCTAGATTTATGATGTGTGCATGTTTACCTCTAAAGGTTTTCTGTTTTTCCCTGAATAATAGTAATAGTAATTATCATAATTATTCAGTGCTGCCATTTACGGTTAGAACGGAGGTTGGGCTCTTGAGTTTATAAAGTTTTGTTGGAACTCAGCTATGTCTTTTGATTTGTATATTGTGTGTGGCTGCTTTCCTGCTATCCTGATAGAACTGAGTAGTGGCAACAGAGACATTATGGCCTGCAAAGCTTAAAATACTTACAGTCTTGACCTTTCGGAAAGAACGTGTTGGCCCAGGTTCAGAGCATATGAAATAGTGTAGTAGAACTTTAGAGTCAGATAGAGGTAGTTTCTGTTCAGCTCAGTGACTTTTCAACTCTGTTATCTTAGACAAGTGACGTTATTTCTCTGAAGCTCAAATTAGTCTTCTGTAAAATTAAGAGAATGAGATCCACTTATTAATGAGGATTCACTTATTCAACAAATATTTATAGCATGTATTCTATTATATATTTCAGATGTTTTGTCATAAACACTGGAAATAGAGGGATGACAGGATAGTTAAGGTACCTGCCTTTGGAAAGCTTGTGTTCTACTTGAAGAGTTAGACAATAAGCAGTTAAGCAAATTAAAGTAAGTCATGTAACAGCCCATGCTGATAAATGCTATGAAGAAAAATACAGCAGTAAAAGAGACTGAATCAGATGATGCCACTATAGACAGGGTGGACAGGGAAGGCCTCTCTGAAGAGGGAATATTTGAACAGAATCTTAAATAAACTGAGGGAGCACTCCTAGGAATAAGGCAAAGGACATTCCCGGTAGAGAAAATAGCATGGACAGAGACCTGAAGTGGAACAGACTTTTCATATTGCAGGAACAGTGAGGTTAGCATCGCTCTTGTGGAGGAGTGAGCTAGGAGGGGAAGATGTTAAGATGAGATCTGAAAGGCCAGAAGGGGCCTGAGCTTGGAGGGCCTTGTAGGTCTTAGTAAGAGGTTTGAATTTCATTCAGAGTGCAAGAAAAAGTCCAGCAAGGAGGCCCGTTACAATGATATTTCAGAAAGCTGGATAGTTTGGGGTGTTAACAATGCAGGCGGTAGAACTTGGATTTAAGATACATTTTAAAATTAGACTCTGTGGGACTTGATAAAATATATGTGAAATATATTAATTCAATAAGTGTTCATTTCAATTCATTAGGTAGTATAAATAAGCATATCAAGTAAATGTGAAATTGTATTTGTCAAAGATTAGCTCTTTGTCCTCCTCTTCAAGTTAATAATCATGTAAAATCTTGGCCTCATTGTATAATGACTGATAAAAAAACTTAACTTTGGTGAGAAATTTGATTTTACATCTTTTGAAGAAATTCTCCAAGATGATTGTGTTAGAAAAAATTTTTTATATTGTAAGAAAAACAAATTTAATGATTTCTCAACTAAAAGTTAACTCTTACAGTTTTATATAAACTGTAAGAGATACAATAAAACAAAAAGTGATTCACATGTACAATTATGTTGCATTGTTTATTTGAAGTGTTTTCTAAATCAGCTTGTCTTTCAGATACTTCTTTATTGACATGTATGTTTTGAAATTTAGAGAATTTCTTCTCTATTATTTTAATTCTTTTCCAAAAGTCTCTTATGTAACTTAATCTTGACTGGTAATTTATAAATTTAGTAAATTATTCATTTTACATGTGTAATTTGTAATTATTTTTCTGTATTTTATAGAATGTTGTTCCAGCTGAGGTGTCCCTTGTTTGTGTGGTAAAGCCAGATGAATTCTGGGATAAGAAAGTAACACATTTTTGTTTTTGGAAAGAAAAGGATAGACTTGGCTTTGAGGTAAATGTAATCTCTTTTTCTAACGTGTGTTATATCTTTAAAAATAGTATTTTTCTTGAGTGAGAAAAATATTCAGTAAAAAGGTACAAGCAGACATACATATCAAAATAGCATCTGTATGAACATACATACACATGCAAATCTTTACTAAGTGCAGAAATACATACAAAGGCAGATTTTCATTCTGGATCTTGCACACACATTCTTAGCAAAAGTGAAATAATAATAAAACATCTCTGTCGGTGCCTACAAAGTGAAAGTTTCAGTGGTAGGTTCTTGGGGAATGTTTTATTAGGAAAGGATAAGTATTATAGTCACAGAAGAAGAATGAGAGTAGAGGAGAAACAAGTTTTTAATCTTTTTATGAGTTAAGTTTGAGACTAAAGAAAACCCGCACAAATGTTTTATTAAAGACCATGTGGTAAATACCTTTCTCTTCAAACTTGTTGAACCATGGTATGTGCTAGTTAATACAGTATTGTGGTTTAGTTATTTAATTTGTCTTGTCTTGACTTCTCTAACGTATATAAAATGAATGGGGAAAGTAATATTTATGTAGGGCTTTATTAATTTAAAAAATACATGATTTTTATTGCCTTTCAACAGACTTGGCCAAAGTTTGAAATGCTTGTGCGGGGTAATGATCTTTTTTTTTTTCCTTCTTTTTTGTAGTTCCTTCTAATTCTTGTTCCCTTTATACTGATTATTACATTTCAGATTTCTTTGATAGTGTGAGGATATGTTTGAAATTTGGATTTCTACTTAGTAAAATGGTAGCTACTTTGAACGCAACCGGTAACCTTTTTCTTCATAAATTTAATGGTATGCATACATATTAGAATTAGAATGTTTATGGAGATGGCTATTTGAAAATAATTGATGAAAGTCAGAATTTGATCCACTTCACATTCTTAAATTGATTAAGCATTTGTTAACATCTCATTTTCCTAGAGGTGAAATCATGACTCTCATGCAAATATAAAATGAGCATAAGTCAAATACATTATTCAATTAATTGATAATAAGGTTACTAATAATTTGTAAGCTGTAGTTCAAAGAACATTTGAGAAATTTATGGTTTTTATAGGAAGATAAGATTGCCAGCCAAATTAGATACAAAACTAATTATTGTTCTATAGATCCATAAGTTGTAAACTTTGAGGTCATCTCTTATTCCACCAGACAGAAATGTACCAATCTCATGAGAACAAGAATTACTTACCTTTCTTCTAGACAGAATCTACAACTTAACTTGTACTCCTACAGAGGTTAATACCTATTGATCAGTCTATAGACAGTCAGTCGAAGATATAATCCCACCACTACAGGAAAGAACACCCAGTAATAATTTTTGCCTGTTTCCGAGATTTAGGTAGTTTTTCTGAAAAATGAATTGTATCTTCTATAGAAGGATATTTTGTGAAACTTGATTTTGGACATACTGCATTGATCACTGTAAGATAATATAAGCTACTTCTTGAAGTTTGATATTTTAGTATCAAACTAAATATCAGTCTCTGTTTAAACTTTGTATTCCCAGCCAAGAACAACATTATTTAGCATTTTCCTACATCATTTTCTAAATTGTTCTAGAGAATTTGTATCCTTAATGGAGGAATCATATTTTCAATACCGTCTTTTTAAAAATATAAGTATTTTTTACTTAAAATATATTAATTTGAAAACTTTCAGATATTTATTAGTTGACTAGTTTGAGAGATTTGTCGGTACTCAGATTTATCACTCAGCTGGAAATCATAATCAATTTGGTGGTTTCCTCTATTAAACAATTTCAAATAAACCATTGGTGAATAACAAACTGTAAGAGTCACTGCTAATTGATATACAACAACTTAAGAAGAATAAGTATGATAATCCTATAAATTTGCCTCAAGACAATTATTACCAAATGTACAAATTGTACCAATTTCATAAAATTTGTTATGTACCATGTCAAGATGTCGTTAGTACTCTAAAAATAATGGTACAATAGATAGTATATAATATGATGAAATTAAATTTGGTTCTTCATTTTTGGAAAATAAAAGACTTTACACATTCAGAGAGTTAGGGCCAGGACTACAAACCTTTTCTCACATATAGTTGTTTAAAAAGAAATGAAAACTACAAAAACAAGCCAGCTAGGATTTTTAAAAGTATAAAAGTTAAAATTTCAAATATCAGGTCATGAAAATAGCTTTTCCTCGCTATCTTTGAAAGCATAATACCATTTTGATTGTGATACATATGTAATCTTAAAATTCAACATGAAAGGTAACTTTATAAATGATTTATGATAAATCATTGTATTTTACATAACTATTTCTAAATTAACTGAAGATCCTTAATGTCATTTGTTAGGTGGGAAAAATAAAAATTGGTCTTACATTTTTATCTTAGTATAATATGTTATTTAAGGCCAGGTGCAATGGCTCACACCTGTGATCCTAACTCTTTGCGAGGCTGAGATGACAGCATTGCTTGAGCCTAGGTCAAAAAATAGAAAAATTAGCTAGGCATGGTGATGTACACCTATAGTCCGAGTTACTCGGTAAGTTGTGATGGGAGGATCGCTCGAACCCAAAAGTCAAGTCAAGGTGCAGTGGCACTCCAACCTGAGTGCCAAAGAAAAACCCTGTCTCTAAAAAAAAAAAAAAAAAATGGTTTAAGGTTTTATTATGAAGTTTGCTTTAATTTAGTATTTTGTAATACTAATAATTAAGTAAATTTTTTTTAAAAATTAAAACGAGCTTATTTTATATACTAATTCATTATGTCTGCAAAGAAAAAACGTAGAATGATATGGAGAGTGTATGAGATTTTCATAACTGGGAAATAGTGATTTAGAGAGTCACGGTAGGCAAATTGTGACCAAAGAAATGCTGGATATGTTTGGAAAATTTACTCTTTTAAATATTTTCTGAGAAATGACAGTGTTGAGTTTGTGGTTTTATCTTCTCCACAGACAATGAATTGTTTGATTTTTAAAAAAAGTTTTGCCTTTAAGTTAGAATATGATGTTTCTATCAGTTGGTCCCTTAATTAGAACAGGTGACAAGTCAATAAATATTTGAAAGAAGGTTTTACAGAAGATAAAAATTAACCGTGTAATATTTAACATAATCTAGTACAGTTATATGTATTTGTGCCATTTTGTACTTTTCAGTATTTTTACTCTAATTCACAATGTTATTTCTTATTCATTAGTCACTGCACTAAAGATTTTCTAAGTTTTTTTTTAATAGCTTTAGAAAATGTTTCTTTAGAATTTTCAGCAATTGTATCAATGTTTCTTTGTTTCCATATTTAGAATTATAGGATGAAAACAAATTATACGTAATTCATGTAATCTCAATATGATTTTCAGGGGGGGATCTTCTCTAATTTTGTTCTTACTTTTAGTTGATGATTGCTCTCTGAGTCTGGACTTTACAAAAATTTGATTAAGGGCTGGGCACAGTAGCTCACACCTGTAATCCCAGCACTTTGGGAGGCTGAGGCGGGTGGATCACCTGAGGTCAGGAGTTGGAGGCCAGCCTGGCCAACATGGTGAAACCCCGTCTCTACAAAAATGCAAAAACTAGCCGGGTGTGGTGGTGTGTGCCTACAGCCACTTGAACCCAGGAGGCGGAGGTTGCAATGTGTTGAGATTGTGCCATTGCACTCCAGCCTAGGTAACAAGAGTAAAACTTTTTCCAAAAAACAAAAAAAATTATGTTTTTTTTCTTTGTATTTTTCTTCTTTGCCAGGTAATAGAACATTCTCCGTAAGACAAAACTTATCCTCTGATTTGCGTTGCTTAATATTAAAACTTTCATATAGGTTTGCTGTGTATGAAAATTTAGTGGTCTCTTCAAGGGCTGTAACAGAAAGGAATATAGGAAGCCCTACCAGTATTTTGTAATTTAAAAAGCTGTAATGAAACTATGGAAAATCACCTAGTCTGAGATTCTTAATCTTGTTTTGTTGCATTGACCCTGCAATGTGTCAGTTTTCTCTTTTTTTGAGACAGTCTTGTTCTGTTTCCCAGCCTGGAGTGCAGTGGCTCTTGGCTCACTGCAGCCTCTGCCCCTCGGGTTCCAGTGATTTTCCTGCCTCAGCCTCCTGAGTAGCTGGGATTACAGGCGTACGCCACCATGCCTGACTAATTTTTGTATTTTTTTAGGTTTCGCCATGTTGGCCAGGCTGGTCTCGAACTCCTGACCTCAGGTGACCGCCCCCCTCAGCCTCTCAAAGTGCTGGGATTACAGGTGTGAGCCACCACACCTGGCCTCTTTTCTTGATGTTGATTTTTTGCTTTCAAACATCTAGAAATCTGTACACAGTCTCCTTTTTCAGCATTCCAGTTCTATTTCAGGCCTAAATCCCACCCTGCAAATGGTTTCTTATTTTTGCTTGTGCATTTGAATTTGCTCTTCACAAGCAAATTCATAGCGGTGAAATCACACCCTTCTGTGATGTTTGCTATCACTGGAGTGGAGTTGAATTGCCTGTTTATTCAAACTTGGTTTGTCCTCTGGGAAGCAGTTGTGTGTAATTTATATGTCATATCCTGGTAAGTGGTATTTTCCAAAGGCAGGTGGACAGTTTTTCACATTTGTAAACAAAATGTATTTTTGCAGTGCACTGGAAGGGATTCTGTTTCCTCTTATACATGCTGCTCCTGACCCACTTTATAAAGGTGATTGTTAGGTTAAAAGAATATGCATAGAATAAGATTTTCCTGCTATTGCACACTCTTAAATGTCTTTTTCCTTCCTTCTTTTTATAAAAGAATGTTTCTAATAAGATGGAAACATTTATTGCTCTTTAGCCTACTCTACCCTTTCCCCTCACCTTCGCCCTCTTAGACAAAAATGAGATTATTGCAGTGGAAACTGAGATGTTTCATCACAGTAGATAGTTCTCTAAGTGGTTACTGTGATTTTGAGTTTGCCAGTTGTTCAGACTGTTGCTTTTCCCCCCACATACTTAACTTCAAGGTACCTTTGGTATTGATA